GTTTGTTATTTTTATCCTTAACCTTATTAGCCTTTACGTTCTTACTCAATCTCTTCTTCATAGGTTTCTTTATCTTATCAATTTTGTCTTACTTCACTCTTAACTCTTTCTTCTAGGAGTTTTCTTTCTCTCTACTTGCTATTTACCCTTCCTAATCCTTTACTTCAATTTCAAGATGGTATCAGAGCCCGAGTTTGTTCCTTTTGATGCTTTCCCCGTGCGCTTTTCCTAAAAGTTCATTATTGCTTGCCATTAGTGGTTTTCTTGCACTCGGTCTTGTACCCCTTTGTGGGGTTTTCTTTTGTTGTTTTTCTTCTCTCTGTATTCGTGTGCGTGTGTATGTTTGTTTTGTTTGTCTATTTCCCCCTTTGTTTGCGTGAGATTGCTTTGTTACTTTCAGGAATTTTGGTTCAACATGGCTGAAAAAGATTCAAGTGTTCCAACAGGATCAACTTCATCTGCTGTCACCACCAACTCTTCAAATGAAGCAGCACCTCCTACAATCAACGCACCATCCCCTTCACCATCTACTCCACCATCTACATCCACCTTTACCTCCTCCTTAGTCCCCAGATTGGAGCTTCCACGCTTCAATGGCAAAGGCTTTTCGTCATGGAGCATCCGTTTTCAACAAGCCGCCACTCTTCTTGATCTTTGGCCTATATACATCGGTCAAATCACTCCCCCTTCAACTGCTGCACCTGCTCAAGAACAAAGCAACTGGATCAAGAGAAATGCTGAAGCCTACCTTTATCTTCTCTCCTCCGTCCAAGATACTTACTCTCAACCCCTCCTCCTCGTATCATCTCAAAAGGACAGTGCCAGAGCTGCTTGGGAACGACTCAAACGTCTTCATCAACCTGTTTCTCAAGGCTCTAAGGCAGAAGTTTGGAACAAGGTCGTGTCTCTTCGCATGGGGGATAGTGAGTCCATCCCCGACTACTTACAACGTGGCGAAATGGTTCTTTACGAAACCACACTTCTCGACCTTGAAGTACCGGAGCCCCTCTTCATCACAATTCTTCTGGCTGGACTCTCATCTACTTGGAGCACAATGAGGAGCACAATCCAATCATTTCCTGAAGAAACAAGGACCAGAGATTTCATCTTCAACACACTCATCACTGAACACCAGACAAGAGAGCTTGCAAAGCTTCAAAGGGACTCTGGACCAGCCTGGAGTGGAATGACAAACGCCAACTATCGTCCTCAACAAGGAGTTCAACAACAGAGTAAGTTTCAGCAAAGTAAGTTTCTTCCAACCCAAGCACACTCTGTTCTTGGACAACCCACACCTAATCACATTTCTCAGCTTGCATCATATGCAAATCAGATTCCTTACAAACCAAAATCAAGATATCAGTTTGAGTGTCATTATTGTCATAAATGGGGTCATCCTTGGTTTAAATGCAACATACGTCCTGCGAACTGGACACCACCTTCTTCTCTGCTTTCTGACAAAGGAAAGGCTGCCCTTGCAATCACATCCCATACCCTTCCAGGATATCAACCGGACAATGCGCATCATGGACCATATTTTCAGAATGCCTCCCAACTCTCATCTCAAAACCAAGTCTCTGTTTCCTCTGTGCCACAACTCTCTTTCACTCCAGAGGCGCCTCCTCAAGCCACCACTTCGCAGACGCCTGTCAAACATTATCATATATGTTATTGATGTGTAGGCTATAGTGGGTTAGCCTTTAGGGGGTACACAACTCTAGGGTTATATACTTGTACTCTCATCTTTCATAGTCCATCACTTCTTCATTCTGACATGGTATTACGAGCTTAGGTCCTTGTCCTAGGACCACTTACCTAAGGGCCCACCACACGAAGCGCCCTCGAGCGCCCTTCTCCTAGAGCGCCCTCGAGCGCCCGTCTCCTAGAGCGCCCTCGTGCGCCCCCTCTGTTCCTCCTGCTGCCCGTGCGCAGCTCGCTAGTGCCGCGCGCGGCCCTTTTTTTTTAGCGCGCGACTCACTAGCCGCCCGTGCGCCGACCCCTAGCCGCCCGTGCGCCTACCCCTAGCCGCCCACGCGACCTGCGCCGCCCGTGAGCAGCCCCCCTAGCCGCCCGTCGACCCCTGTCCCGGACGACGCAGCCGCCCGTAGGCCGCCGCGACGCCCCGACCCGTTTTAGGTCGTCACCCGCGCTAGACAGGCCCACGCACGAAAACGCACCCCCCCCCCCCCCCCCCCTCCCACCACTGCTGCCCACGCGCGCGCCCCCCCCGCTGCGCACAGTCGCGTAGCCCAGCCCGAGCCGAGCCGCGCCGCCCGAACCGGGCCGCGCCGCCCGAACCGAGCCGCGCCGCCCAAACCGAGCCGCGCCGCCCGAGCCGAGCCGCACCGCCCGGACCGAACCACACCGCCCTGACCGAGCCGCGCCACCCTACTGTGCCCCACGGCAGTTCCTCCTGTTCCTGTTCCTACTGTACTACTGCTACTGTTCCTGCTGCTACTACTGCCATTATGGCCACTCCCTCTGTTCTCACCTTTGACGCTGAGGGCCGCCCGATTAAGTTTGAGGTCTGGCTAGATGACCTCCACCTGTTCCTTCTGATCACTGCCAAGGATGATGTGTCCCTCTATGATCACACATCCGGCGCTGCTCCTGCACCTCCTGCTACTGCTGACAGCACTGCCCGCTCCCAGTGGCAGACCCGTGATGCTCACGCTCGCCTAGCCGTTCGCAGCCACCTACCGCTAGATGAGCGCGAGCACTTCGGCCAGCATAAAACAGCTAAGGAGCTGTACGACGCAGTAGTCGCACGCTACTCCTCTCCTGCCACTGCTGCTATAGGCCGTCTCTCACTGCCCTATCTCTTCCCCGACCTGTCCGCGTTTGCCACTGTAGCTGACCTCATCACCCACCTCCGTACCAGTGACCTCCGCTACCGTGCCGCTCTCCCCCCCGATTTCCTCGCCAAGAACCCCCCCCCGATGTACCTCACACTGTACCACCTTGTCACCCGCCTCCCTGACTCCCTTCGCTCTGTCAGGGATCAGTTCCTTGCCCTCTCCCCCACTGACCTCACTGTCGACCTCCTCGAGAAGGAACTCCTAGCAGCTGAGAAGAGCATTGTAGTTGTAGGTGCCTCTCGTGGCGACCCCCGCACCCCCTTCTTTGAGGGGTGCTCCCCCTACCCCCTCCTCCCCTCCATTGCATCTGCTGCTGCTATCGGCTACCTCGGAGCTGAGGGAGTCGGGGCCGCGTCTGCTCCTAGTGGGAGACGCAAGGGCGGCAGGTGCAAGGGGGGCAGGGGTGGTGGAGGTGGACGAGGGGGCGGCGGCAGTGGAGGGGGTGGGGTGGGCGGGGGTGGTGGCGGGGGTGGGAGTGGCGCGGGTGGTGGGGGGGGCAGTGGCGGCACAGGGGGTGGTGGCGGTGGCGGTGGTGGGGGTGGTGGGGGCGGTGGGGGCGGTGGAGGCAGTGGTGGCGGTGGTGGAGCGGTGCAGCGTGGGGGGTTCGGCGGCGGCCAGAGGCAGCAGCAGCAGACTCCCTCGCCTCAGCAACTCCGTAAGTGGTACTCTCAGCGTGGGGGGTCTGGGGGGGGAGGTACCTGCCCGTACGTCATCCGCACAGGTGACCGCGCTGGCCAGACCTGTGGGAGGTTCCACACGGAGCAGCGCTGCTTCTTTCGTCTTGACGACGCCTGGCGTGAGCAGTTTCCTGACGCCACTGAGCTGCCCCGCTGGGCTGACCTGCTTAGGAAGAACATTGATATCTTTGCTCTTGACTTTGATGCTATCCTTGGTGCCATGTATGCATTGACTATTAGTGTTGAGGGTGACTGTTACCTGAGTGTACCGCCAGACCCTGGCATTGGGACCAGTGAGACAGCTCCTCCAGGTGCTAGTGCGTCTGCTCCCCTAGGTCCTGGTGAGGCTGCTGCTCTTGGTGCCAGTGCGTCTGCTGCCCTAGGTCCTGGTGAGGCTGCTGCTCTTGGTGCTAGTGCGTCTGCTCCCCCAGGTGCTAGTCCGTCTGCGCTTGCTGGTACTGCGTCCACTGAGGCACTGCACACCTTCACACTCGACTCGGGTGCTTCCCGCTGCTTCTTCCGTGACCGCACTGCCCTTGAGCAGCTAGCTCGGCCGGTTGCTGTCTCTCTCGCTGACCCCTCTGGGGGCCCGGTCATTGCGACCTCCTCCACTGTCCTCCCTTGTCCTGCGGTCCCGTCCGGCACCCTGTCGGGCCTTTACCTCCCCTCGTTCTCTACGAACTTGGTGGCGGGCTCTGCTCTTCAGGATGGGGGTGTTCACCAGTTCACCCCTGCCTATGAGCGTGTGACCCACTGTACGTGTGCTAGGACAGGTCGCCACCTAGCTACCTTCACTCGGCAGCCGGGGTCGGACCTGTACACACTGACCACTGAGTCCCCTCAGGTAGCTGCGTCTGCGTCTGCGTCAGGTCAGCTGTCGGCCCCCTGCTCGTGTCGCTCCCTGTCACACCAGACCGTTCTCTGGCACCACCGTCTTGGTCACCCGTCAGTGCAGCGCCTTCGTGGCATGCACTCCCGGTACCTTGTCTCTGGTCTTCCCAGGGTTCTCCCTCCCATCCCACCCTCGCCTGCTCCTCCCTGTCTTCCCTGCGTCGAGGGGCGGCAGCGCGCCGCTCCTCACTCCTCCTCGTTCCCTCCCACAGAGGCTCCTCTGCAGACTCTCCACCTGGACGTGTGGGGCCCAGCCCGCGTCCGTGGACAGGGCCACGAGCGGTACTTCCTGCTGGTTGTCGACGACTACACGCGCTACACCACGGTCTTCCCCTTGCGCACCAAGGGTGAGGTCCCTGATGTTTTGATCCCCTGGATCCGCGCTGCTCGTCTCCAGCTCCGCGACCGGTTCCAGTCGGACTTTCCCGTCCTGCGTCTGCACTCTGACCGAGGTGGTGAGTTCTCCTCTGACCTCCTGGCAGCCTACTGTGCGGAGCACGGCATCCGCCAGACTTTCACGCTTCCGACCTCTCCTCAGCAGAATGGGGTTGCTGAGCGCCGCATTGGCTTGGTCATGGAGATCGCTCGTACCTCCTTGATCCATGCGGCTGCCCCCCATTTTCTGTGGCCGTTTGCGGTCCAGTACGCTGCGCATCAGCTCAACCTCTGGCCCCGTGTCTCCGCTCCGGAGACCTCGCCCACACTGCTGTGGACGGGGCAGGTTGGCGATGCGTCGCGTTTCCGTGTCTGGGGTGCTCGTTCCTTTGTCCGTGATACCGCTGCGGACAAGCTCTCCGCCCGCGCTGTGCCTTGTGTCTTCCTTGGCTTTGTCCCCGACGCACCTGGTTGGCGGTTTTACCACCCCACCTCGCGCCGTGTCTTTGCATCTCAGGACGTCACCTTTGACGAGTCGGTACCCTTCTACCGTCTGTTCCCCTACCGCACTGCTCCTCTCCCCCCCCCGCCTCTCTTCCTCACACCAGGTGCCCCTCCGGTAGACCCCCTCCCTCCCCAGGGTCCTGCTCCCTCAGGTGTTTCCCAGGTAGACGCAGTCGAGCCTGTCGAGGTAGCTGTTGACTCTGGTCCTGAGCGGGGTACTGAGCCTGGGGGCACTGAGACTGGGGGTGCTGCGCCTGGGGGTGCTGCGACTGTGGGTGCTGAGCCTGGGGGTGCTGCGACTGGGGGTGCTGAGCCTGGGGGTGCTGTGACTGGGGGTGCTGCGCCTTGGGGTGCTGCGACTGGGGGTGCTGAGCCTCGGGGTGCTGAGCCTGGGGGTGGTGACCCTGCTGGTGCTCCCTCTCCACAGCGACTACGTGAGTGGTACGCTCGGCGCTGCGGCCTCCGGAGTGGAGCCCCTCGTTTTGAGTTACCCCCTGCTGTAGGTACTGGAGCTACTGGAGGTGCTACTGGTGCTACTGGTGCTACTGGAGGTTCTGGAGCTGAGGGCGGTGCTGCCGGTGCTGCTGGAGGTACTGGGGCTGCTGGAGGTGCTGCTGGTGCTGCTGGAGGTACTGGTGCTGCTGGCGGTGCTGCTGGTGCTGGTGGAGGTACTGGAGCTGCTGGAGGTGCTGCTGGGGGTACTGGAGCTGCTGTAGCTCCTAGTGGTGCTCCTAGTCCTGGGACTGGTGGTGCTGCTGTCGCTGGTACTACTGGAGGTCCTGGGGTTGGCACTCCTGGAGGTGCTACTGGTGCTACGAGAGCTGGAGCTGCTGCTGGAGGTTCTGGTGCTGTCTCTGCTGGTTCTGGGGGAGCGTCACGGCCGCAGCCGTACTTCGTTCCGCTTCTTCGGCAGGTTCTTGGTCAGCCGCCTCCTCCTTGTCCTGCTCCCTCCTTAGGGTGTCCTTCGCCTGTCCGACCACAGTCGCAGTTCCAGCCCACCTCACCTCTTCCTGGTCCTTCTCCCTACACTGGTCCGACAGGAGGTCTTACAGAGCGTCGTGAGCCTGAGTCTCGTCCTGTGTCGCCTGAGTCTCGTTCTGCGTCACCTGTTCGTGCTGCTCGCCCTAGTCGTCGTGTCCCGCGTCAGCGTCCTCCTGCTGTCCCCGGCACTCACCCGATGCTGCTTCGTCTTTCCACTGCTCCACGACGTGTCCCTCTGCCTTCTCCTCCTGCGTCCTCCCTTCCTGCCCTTGCTGACCCAGAGTCTGACTCTCTTCGTGCTGCTAGTCCTACTGTCGCGCGTCTCCTGTCCACAGTTGTCACTGACCGTTCCTTTGAGTCAGCTGCTGCGTCTGCCTTAGTCACTGAGCGTGTTGACTTTGCTGCTCACTGTAGACTAGACTACGCTGCCGGTCTTGTTGCTGAGTCTGAGTCTGTCTGTCCTCCGTCCGTCGGGGGTGAGTGTGCTCTTGGCACGGACGTTCTTGAGGACAGGCAGGAGGAGTTTGAGTGCTTTGCCGCCGCTGTACCTCATCTCGTGTCCATGCTGATTGCACCTGAGGGAGACCCGGGTGCTCCAGACATCCCGACCCCGCGCTCTTACGCTAAGGCGATCACGGGTGAGTACTCCTCTCAGTGGCAGTCAGCCATGGATGCAGAGATGGCATCCTGGAAGTCCACTGGCACTTACGTTGACGAGGTTCCCCCTCCTGGGGCGAACATCGTCAGTGGCATGTGGATTTTCAGGGTGAAGCGGCCGCCAGGTTCTCCGCCTGTCTTCAAGGCTCGGTACGTCGCTCGAGGCTTCAGTCAGCGAGAGGGAGTAGATTTCTTTCAGACCTTCTCCCCCACCCCGAAGATGACCACTCTTCGGGTGCTGCTGCACGTTGCCACTCAGCGTGACTACGAGCTTCACTCTCTTGACTTCAGCACAGCTTTCTTGCAGGGCAGTCTGCACGAGGAGATCTGGCTGCGCCGTCCACCTGGCTTCACTGGGTCGTTTCCTGCAGGTACCCAGTGGAGCCTCCGGCGGCCGGTCTACGGTCTCCGCCAGGCTCCACGTGAGTGGCACGACACACTGAGGACTACACTTGCGGCTCTTGGGTTCTCGTCTTCTACTGCTGACCCGTCGCTGTTCCTGCGCACCGACACTTCACTGCCGCCGGTCTACATCCTCGTGTACGTCGACGACTTGGTCTTTGCCACTGCTGACACTGAGGCTCTCGCCCACGTGAAGTCGGAGCTGCAGAAGAGACACACGTGCACAGACCTGGGTGAACTGACAAGCTATCTTGGCTTGCGGATCACCCGGGACAGAGCACGCCGCACCATCACACTGACTCAGTCACACATGGTGCAGCAGGTCCTTCAGCGCTTCGGTTTCACCTGGTCCTCAGCACAGGCCACTCCTCTGGCTATAGGTCACTCGCTCTCAGCTCTGCCTTCGGATGAGTCCGTAGAGCCGAGTGGTCCTTACCCAGAGCTAGTTGGTTGCCTCATGTACCTGATGACTTGCACTCGTCCTGACCTAGCATATCCTCTTGGCCTTCTGGCCCGCTACGTGGCTCCTGGCAGGCACCGAAAGGTGCACTGGGATGCTGCAAAGAGGGTATTGCGCTACTTGTGCAGTACATCGGGCATGGGGCTCGTGCTTGGAGGGAGGCGCTCAGTTGTTCTCACTGGGCACTCAGACGCTTCTTGGGTTGACGACCAGGCTACTCAGCGGTCGTCACAGGGTTACACCTTCAGCCTTGGCTCTGGTTCAGTTTCTTGGCGTTCTACTCGCTCGTCTTCAGTTCTCAGCTCCAGTTGTGAGGCTGAGATCTACGCCACAGCCATGGCTGCACAGGAGTTACGCTGGTTGACCTACCTTCTGACTGACCTGGGAGAGCGGCCTAGTTCTCCTCCAGTGCTGTACGTTGACAACAAGGCTGCCATTGCCTTGTGTCAGGAGCACAGACTGGAGCACAGAACGAAGCACATCGCTCTCCGTTACTTTCTGGCTCGAGAGCTGCAGCAGCGTGGTCAGCTTTGTCTGCGTTACGTGGCCACTCGGGCCAACACTGCTGATATATTCACCAAGGCACTTCAGCCTGGTGATCATCAGCGCTTCTGTACTGTCCTGGGGCTTGTGCCCACTGTTCCTCACTTACTGTAGACTTTGTCTGTACTGTGATCTCTTTGTATATATATATATCTGCTTGTTTGTTTTGTTAGGTTGAGATCACCTTGCTGTTTGTGTTGTCTATATATGCCTCTGCATTTGAACTGGCCCTGTGGCCCTTTGCTTGTGCTCAGACTGTGTGGTGACGTTGTGATCCACCCTGAGCTTGCTTTGCCTTTCTTGACTGATCTTGTGACCCCTTGCTCTCCCCCACTTTGCCTATGGGGGTGTGTCAAACATTATCATATATGTTATTGATGTGTAGGCTATAGTGGGTTAGCCTTTAGGGGGTACACAACTCTAGGGTTATATACTTGTACTCTCATCTTTCATAGTCCATCACTTCTTCATTCTGACAACGCCATCCGCTTCACATGAGAAAGATTCCACTCATTCAAATACACCGAGTTTTGCATTTGCATCATCCTCTTGTCTCCATGCCTTTACCCAGGACCCCAAGACTTGGTTTTTGGACAGTGGATGTGATCAACATATGACTCCTCATGCTTCCCTTCTTCACAGCCTCAAGCCCTCCAACGTGAAAGAAGTGGTTGTTGCCAGCAATCATTCGGTGCCAGTTGAAGCAGAGGGCACAATGACATTCCTCAGCCCAGAGGGAATCCATATGTCATTCTCAGGCATCTTGCTTGTCCCCTCACTGGGGGCAAATCTTCTCTCAATTGGTCAAATGGAAGAGAAAGGTATCTCTATTTCCTTCTCAGATGGTTCTGTGCAGGTTCATGCTCCAACTGGGCATCCTATTGCAAGAGGTGTTCGAAATGGACGTCTCTATCGAGTGGAGATTGATGCACAACCACCTGTCAAGCCCTATAGCAGTCCCTCGACTGCTGCTGCTACCACCTCGGTAAGACTTCACCCTGGAACATCTGCATCCCCTTACACTTGGCACTGTCGTTTTGGTCATCCTGAAGAGTCTAGTATCACACGCATGCAAGCTCATGCAAGTGTTGATGGTCTTATCATCTCCAAGCAACTGTCATCTTCTCATTCATCGTGCCATACTTGTGTTGAAGCTAAGCTCCCTCGTCATCCTTTCTATTCTTCTGAGTCTGAAGTCTCTCAACTACTTGAGCTCATACATAGTGACCTGATGGGTCCTTCCCGTACTCCGAGTCGTACAGGGAAAAAGTATGTAATGTCACTCATTGACCATCATACAAAATTTGCATGGATCTCTCTTCTTGGATCCAAAGATGAAGCTCCCAGTGTTATTCAGTCTTGGTTCCCTTATGTTGAGCGTCAGTTGGGTCTCAAGGTCAAGATATTTCGTTCTGATCGTGGAGGAGAGTACATGTCTAACTCATTCCGCTCTTTCCTTACCAACCTTGGAGTTGAGCAGCAATTATCATGCCCAGCAACACCTCAACAAAATGGTACTGCTGAGAGATACAACCGTACGATTCTGGAGATCTCAAGAGGTTTTCTTTCCCACATGAATCTGGATGACTCATGGTGGGGAGAAGCTATTACCCATGCTGCTTGGGTCAAGAATCGTCGGCTGACAAGCTCCCTTGCTGAGGGTGTTACACCCTATGAGGCATTATACGGCGTAAAGCCAAATGTGTCCATGCTTCGAGTTTTTGGCTGTATGAGTCAGTACAAAGTGCTGGATGACAAACGCAGCAAGTTTGAAAGCAAGGCAGCATGGGGCATGCATCTGGGCATGGCCAAGGAGAGTAAGGGCTGGTTGATGTGGGATCCTCTCTTAAAAAGAGACATTGTGTCAAGGGACGTGATCTTCTATGAAGACATGTCCCCGTCTTCTTGGAAATCTTCTTTCCCTCTTGTTTCCTCTCAAGTTCCTCCCTTCTCTACCTTTGCAGATTTCGAACTTCCAACAATCATTCTAAGTGGAGTTCCTGCATCATCACCGCAGCAGCAACACGAAGATGCGTCTCATGCTCAAGACCAACAACCACCGCCATCATCTTCTGCTCCCACCCCTCATCATCAAGAGCAACAGCAGCGGCAGCCATCACCGCCTCCATCACAACAACGACAACAACCATCTCCACCCGATTTACCTCCTCCTCTTCAATCCCCTCCTACTCACCAGCAGGACCAGCAGCAACAGCAACATCCTCCCGACACTCACTCCCTCCAGCCTTCACTTACACCTCTCGTCGTTTATCGGCCCAGCGGCTATCATCCAGCAGCACTTCTTCACCTTCCAGATCATCGTCAACTCATACCATCCACCGTGCAGCCACCACCAACACAACAGCACACACCTCCCCATATCCAGCAACTCCATTCGACAATTCCGACTAATAGAGCTTCATCAGAAGCTCATTCTCAACCAGCAGCACCCAACCGGATTGATATCAACTATCCACCAGACACGAGCACGTCAGCACCATCAACATCTTCTACTTCGTCATATGCGCGCTTCACCTCTCATGCGACGTATTCCACTCTTAGCTCCTCTCCAAGACATTTGTGTAGCGGTCGCACCTGCTTCCAATGCAGGATCCACGCCACATGTTTCGCCATTTCCCAACTTCCACCCGAGCCTCTCAATTGCAAAGAAGCTATGGCAGGAGCATTTAAGGAGCAGTGGTTAGCAGCGGAAAAGGCAGAACTGGAAAGTTTACTCGACAGGGGGACTTGGACTTTGGAGCCATTACCCAAAGGAAAGAAGCTCGTGGGAGTGAAATGGGTCTACCGGGTGAAGGTGAAGGGTGATGGATCCCTGGACAAGTTCAAGGCTCGTTTGGTCGCCAAGGGATATTCTCAAGTTCCTGGACAAGACTACAATGAAACATTTGCTTCGGTCGCCAAGTACACCAGTGTCCGCGCTCTTCTTGGCATGGCAGTACGGATGGATCTCTACATCATTCAACTGGACGTCTCCAACGCCTTCCTTTACGGCGTTTTGGAGGAGGAGATTTACACGTCTCAACCTGATGGGTATCACGATGGTACTGAGAGAGTCTGCAGGCTGCACAAGTCCCTGTATGGCCTGAAGCAAGCTCCACGGGTCTGGTATCACGCATTAGAGTCTGCCTTGCTGGCACAAGGTTTCACACAGTCTGAGTATGACCCTGCACTCTACATCCTGCACACGAAGGTGCATCAGGTGCTG